ATTTTCTACAACATATAAGTGATCCACATCACTTATCATGACAAATAGTATTAATGAAGACTATAACTTATACCACACAACTTAGGTCAATGAGTCATAATCCACCCTAATGGTCCATATATTAAACCAACCATTCACATAGTATCACTTAACCACCAAAACCATTTATTAGCCATCACTAGGCTAATTTTCAATTTATATAATTTTTTTTAATCAATTAAAAACCTTTACTTAGTGCCACCAACTTTCACCATTAGCCCTTATAATGAAAACCAAATCTTAATTTAAATCTTATTGGGCTCAAATAGCAAAATTATAACTAAATCAATAGGCTTAAACCATTGAGGAGCAAAAACCCAATTTCTCAAGGTTTATTTTGTGCCCAAAACACCTCTTTTCATCCAATTATTCACTCAAAACATTAGATCACTATATAGAAACTCAAAACATGCTCCCTAGAATCTAAAGAAACAAAAGCTTACAAGAATAAAGCCTTTGGGATCAAAATCTAAAAATTTTCTCTTCCAAAAATTGAAGAAAATCAAGAGAAAGAGAAGAGGATTGAAGTAGGGAGTTTACCTATCGTGTAGCCGAGCTCGCAACGGTCGCAAAGACTCCTAGATCCAAGCCTAACTCCCTCCCTTTCTCTTCTCTTCTTCCTCTCTCTCTCTCTCCCGTTTGTGCGTTTGCTTCCTTTCTCATTTTCTTTGCGTTTCTGCATCAGTTTGCTCCTTAAAATGCTGGTCAAAAACTTTGGGAAAAATTACAAGAAAGGGCCCAATATTTTTTATTATTGCACAAAAGCCCGGGTCAACTTTGGTAATTTTTCCCATAGTTAAAAATCAAATAAAACCAAACTTTTGCTTAGTAAAATTCGAACTCTGGGCCTCTATTAAATTATTCTAAATTTTAATTTAATTATAGATATTTTATTTTATTTTTGTTTATTTTTTTTAAATAAATTTGAGTCTTAAAATTTTTAGGATGTTACATATGAAATGGTGATTTTAGCCTTGATAATAATTTTTAAATTTTTAAATTATTTTTGGATGAATTCTTAGAAAATAAATTGATGAAATTTTTGATATTATGATTGATTTAAAACTTAGGTATAGTTTATTGATGTATGAGAATTTTAAAAAAAATTAAAAAATTAAATGAGGAACTAACTTGGAATTAGTGTTAATATAAAAATTAAGCCTAAACTTTCTAATTCTTTAAATTAAAATTATTTATTAATTTAATATAAAATTAATGTTTAGTATTATGTAATTATTATCATACATATATTATTAAATGACTATGTAAATTGTGTTGTCTAAGAAAGTGGTGAAAGAGGTGTTGTATAAGAGAACATGTTATTCAAGGTACGAAGTAACCATGATTAATGTATAGTAATATGTGTGTGTGTGTGATTATTGTGTGTGTGTTTTGTTATTTGAAATAATATATGTGTATATTTTTGTTCGAAATAATTGTCAAGGGGGTTAAATTTATATTTATGAATATTTTGTGAATATTGACACTACTAAAAATGTGAGATAAATTATCTAGTTGATTGTTATAAATGCGTGACTGGTTGAAATATATTAAAAATTGTTCAATAGGGATTTTTGTTTGATCGAGTTACCACGCGATAAACCTTTATTGAAACTATCGCTTGTAGCTTAGTCCAACTCACCTTTAATCAAGTGACTTGGTGTTTGAGTATGGAATATAGAGGGATATAAAGTATAGTCACGCTAATTGAATAATTGTTCATATTGTTGATTAATTGTTTTATTTGTCTACTTAACAATCGCACAGTCAACTACCTTATGTGCATTATTGCGTATTAATATTTGGTTATTAAGACTGTTAAGTCTCATTCTCTATGGTTATTAATTTTTTTAGAAGTGAGTTTGGCCAAATAAGTACCTGAGGCATAATTTGATACATGAGACACCATTTTCTAATTCAACCTCTTTATTTTTATTAGATGTATATTATGCCAATTTAGGGCGTATATGTATATATTGAACATGTAAACTTTATTTATGAATTATTGTATTTTATATGCTGAGAAAATTTTGTCTATCCCTCATAGTCCTGGATATCTGTGAAGTAGAATTTCAACCAGGTATGCCCATATGTGGTAGTTTGGTTTGGTCGTAGTCAATAGGAAAATGTATAATTGGGCTCAAGTTGTGTATTTATAGCAAAGACATGGTTTGTGAAGTGTTGCTTATGTGACCATGATTTTGAATTTGTAACAGGGGTATACATTTAAAATATTTAACGACTGTTTTCTTAATTATCATGGTAAAGTAAATTCATTATATTTAAATATTTATGTTATAATAAACCCTTTTTTTTATCATGGTATGCCATTTGTGAAAGGTTTTTATAGCTCTTTTTTCTATAATGGTAAGAGTTCAAAATTATTAAAATAGTTTATCAAACTATTAATTTACAAAAAAAAATGTAAAAATTGAAAGCATTACACAAAATGTGTGGTGTCGTATAAACAAATAACAACATAAATAGTAAATGCAAACTTTAAAATGTCATAATTTTATGTACACATATTTAAATTGAGTCATTCAAATGTCTATATAGAGCTTATAATATAATCTAGCAATTAGTTATAAGAATGCACTTCCCAAACAATTTACTTCGCCAAACCAAAACCAAAGCCAACATTAACGCTCAAACCACTTGACCAAATCATAAATGCATAAAATGACCTAAGTAGGTTATTGTAACGATCATATGCACTTAATTTTATCAATTGAGTTATAGCCACCCAATACAATTAAAATTAAAACTCAATATAAATTTTCATAATATAATGCAATGCTCCAAGCATAATATTCATATCAAAATAAGACCACAAATATCAAAAATATGTCTCGTGACTACTGCATACAAGTTTAATCTAAAAATACTGAGTCACATGTTCAATCCATAAAAGTATACTTTGAGGTTGACAAAATATACATAGCTAAACAAAAATGAGGCCTAACACTACTAGTTGGTGTCCACACACCAACACTATGCCTTTAGTACTTCTTTCACTAAAGTTTTCCCTAAAAAATGTTAACAGCAAGGAATGAGATGTAAAAATCTCAATAATAAAAAATGCCATAATACATGTAATACAGCTAATTATACAATTGCTAATTGGGCAAATAAAGCATGTTTTCAAATAAATTATAGACAAGCAAATCAAACAGTGAAATGCATATCTACACCTTATCTCCGCCTTACTTTGTACTTGGAATCTAACTAATTTTGCTAAAGGTATGCTAGTCCAAGCTGCGAGCCATTTATTGGGTCTAATAAGAACATATCATGTAATATAATTACCATTCATGCAAGAAATTTCTATCACCGTTTCAAACCCAATAAGTCATATCGATAATATATCCAAGCAAGAAAGACACACCAAACAAATTTACACATATCCAAACATAATATCGAAATCATGTACAATTTCATCTCACTTGCCAATAAAATTTCCAAACAAATAATATAGACTTCCAAATATAATATTTTCCAAATGATACTTATTTTTAATTTTTAACTAAACACTAACGCAAATAATTACAAAGCAAACACCATAATAAATTAATAAAGGTTACTTTTACCCTTAGCAAGCAAATTTCCTTGGATAAGCCACTAATCACCACCAACAGTATTAAAACTACAATCTACATAATATACAAGGCTGATTATTGTTAATACATGTATTCAAACACTAATCACGTGCTAATTATAGGATTAGATTAATTGATCTCATAACCCTAATGCACTCCCATATACTTTAATAACCAAATTTAATCATTCTCATCCTTATTTCATCTCTTAAGCATAAATTTAATGTTTAATCACTCATTATCATCCTATAAATTTAGGGTTTCAAATTTAATCACCCTATACGGTAATTTCCACCATCAAAACGATTTGAACAATATCCATCTAACCTCAAACATGCCTCATGGCCTAGATCCACAACTAAGGCAACCTTTAGATGAAAGGCCTAACATAAATGCCAACAAATTTTGCTTGGAAAATGGAGACAAGAGGATAGGAGAATGATAGATGAGCTTACCTTAAATGGTTGAAGCCTCAAAATCAAGCTTGTATGGTGGAAGATGTGAAACCTTGGCAAAGTTACTTAATTTCACCTCCCATTATTTTGTTTATCTCCCTCTCTTTTTGATTTTGCAAATTAAATATCAATGTTTAAAATGTATTGTATGCCGCGGCACATAATATAGTGCTAAAAAATCACACCTAAACCCGATAATGTAGGCCTAGTATTTTTTTTTGGATTCCAAATAACTCTTATACATAATTCTATTTCCAATTTCAACTAATAATTAATCGCTTAAATAATGAATCAATCTCAATAAACCTCAATCAAACATAATTTTACAATTACCCCACAATACTCATAATTCCTCAAATGCACAAGTTTTTCTCAATTAATTTACAGCTTAAAATCAGAATATTATGATTGGAGTTATTAGGCTTAATATTTGTCAACATGAAAGATGAATATTTGTGTTTTTTTGTTAAAATTTAAAAAATAATTTACAAAATGTATCACAACAAATTTGCAAAATTAAAAATTAAATTTGTAAATATCTAAAATTGTTAAACTTATTATCATCAAGGATCAATAAACTTTGTTAACGCTTTGAAATTAATTAAAACTTGATTTGAATTAATTGATTTTCTTATGACTTAACTGTAATTTTTCCTTAAATATTCAGATAAAATTATAAAACGCATACGAAGACGAAGACCGAAGGGAAGTGAGATGGTCAGCGAAGAAATTTGAATGCGACCAATTCCGTGTCGCCGGTCAAAGGCGGTAGTCTTGTCTGTCTGTGATATCTCGCGAGGGAAGAGCCATGGGCGGCTTCTTCAGCTACCCTTAACTGCTTAACCTACCCCCCCCCCCCCCTCCCATTACTCTGATGCTCTTTCCTTCTCTTCTTTTTTTGGGCCTGAACTTCCCTTCTCTTCAAACCATATGATTTTCCTCTATCCTCATTATTAATCATAGGAAAGTTTTTCACTTTACGCATATCTATCATTCAATTAACTCACAGTCACACCCAAACAATACTAGTTTGACAAGTTCAAATTTAACTTTTTACCAAGTAGATGTTTGTAGGACTCTAGCGAAAGGGAATTGCGATTCTCATTGTTATTATATTATTATTGTAACTGTAATGTTATAATTACCTTCTTGGCGCTCAAAGAGAGGTTGAGTGTGGACTTCAACTTCCTCAATATTCAAGCTTTTGCCCCATCCCAATCCCATAAGCCTCCCCAAAACTAAAACCCTTCTCTTTTGGAATCTGGAATTTTTCCTTTCCCTAGTGTCTTTCACTTCAGAGTTCCGATATTCGTTTCTCCGTGTTTGTTTCCAATTGTTCTACACATGCCTCCATAACATTGACTGCAAACTGGAGAGAAAAATAACGGGTCTTCTCTGTTAATTCGAGACATGGAGGTGTTACCGGAGCTGAGCCTTTGAGTACATGTCAGGGGGTACAGCGGTTGAGTTTTTGTTTGGTTATCTGAAACTATGGGGGGAATTTGTTCGAGGTCCGCCAACGAGGACAAGGTGTTTGCCAAGACCGATGAAAATTTTGTGAATCATAAATCTGGTAAGAATGGCCAGTCTAGCGTGCCGAGTGATTTCACTACTGCACCTCAGATACGTGAGAAAATGGAGAAGGATTTGCAAGAACCTAGTGAAATTCGAGGCTTAGATGCAGGGACTAGTCCAAATGATTTCTATGATGGAATCCCACGCTTTTCTGATTCTTTTCCACACAAATCTAGATCAGTTAAATCAAGGCAGGCTGCTGTGGCAAAGGTTGGTTCATTATGGTTCGCTTCAAATGCTCAACCCTTTGACTAATTCTTTACTATTATTTATGCGCCCGAGCTGGGCTACTCAGTGATGGATCTATTTATAGATCGCAGGGGTTTATGTTGAGAGTCCGGATTAATTTGTCCTAACTATGCGCATTTTTAGAATTTTTTTTTTTTTTTACCCTCGCCTGTCAATGGCATGGCAATGAAAATCTGGTTAGTTTCCGAGAATTAAATCAGAAAGCAGGATCATTATTTTAAAATAGGAAAGTCCTAAGCAATTGTTTTTAATGAGCAGGATCGCTAGTTTATTCTGGCAAGGGAAGCTCGTTAATGGTAACACCTCCTAACTAGCCATAAGTTGACTGGTAAAAAAGGCCTTTTGTTGGTGGGAACTCAAAACAAGGCCAGCAGCGCATGTACATTTACCCCGATTTTTAGAGGGAATGCTTATTGAATAGTTGCAGATATTTTAGAAAAAGCTAGCAACAATATAGAAAAGGAGAACACAACGAAAGCCCTAATGATATGAATCTTGAACTGAGAATGAGTCCATTGGATTGGTTGAAGAATCTGTTGACCACTTAATAGCAGAGTAGGTTATAAAAATTTCAACCGTGTCTTTCCTGTGAACTTCTTGTTGTCTAGAAAATTTTGGCATGCTTCCAAGCCTAATGATCTGTACTAACCAACACCCATCCACATTCATGAGAATCAGTGCATAGGATTTTATTATACTGGCTGAACTTCACGGTCTTCATCCTCTTCATTGCAATGGTTACAATTTGAATTAGCTATTTTATTTGTTGTTTTACCCCACATATATACTTACTACTTTCAAATTTAGTTTACTGTTTTGTTATGTCTTTAAGTTAAGTAAGCAGGTTTGTTGAAACGAAAGGAGAATAAAACGACCAAGGTTGGAAAATTTTGATGGTACCTACAAAGATATTTTCTGTTTCAGGTTTCAGAGGTGAGTTCACGTCTAGGAAGAGCTGGTACCATTGGAATTGGGAAGGCAGTGGATGTCTTGGACACTCTTGGGAGCAGCATGACAAATTTAAATGCTGGAAGTGGGTTTATTTCTGGAACTGCAACAAAAGGAAATGAAATTGCTATCTTAGCATTTGAGGTTGCAAACACTATCGTCAAGGGCTCTAGTCTCATTCAATCTCTGTCGAACCGAAGTATTTGGCATTTAAAAGAAGAGGTGCTTCCTTCAAAGGGTGTGCAAGATTTAGTATCTAAGGATACGGATGAACTTCTAAGGATTGTTGCTGCAGATAAGAGGTAAGTATAGGGTTAAGTTAGATGAGTTAAGTGAATTCAGTTCCTAAATAAGCTAAATTATTCATTTGATTTTATTATGATTATGAAATGGCAACTGCAAGTAATCATTTGGTTTTGCCTTCAGGGAGGAGTTGAAAGTTTTTGCTGATGAGGTAATCCGTTTCGGAAATCGCTCCAAGGATCCTCAATGGCACAACTTGGACCGTTACTTTGAGAAGTAATATAAATTGTACTCTCTTAATTCATGAGAATTTTAGCTTTTCATATGTTCCCCTCTCTTGTACTGACTCTTTTACAAGACATCTATTTATTCTATATTACAGAATCAACAGAGAACAGAATGCCCAGAGACTGTCAACAGATGAGGTTGAATCAATGATGCAGCAATTGATGACTTGGGTCCAGCTCACAGCTGTGAGTATTATCCTCATCTAATTTGAGATCAAATATTAAGTCCAGAACTGATATCTACTTTGTTGAATTGATTGAAAGCTTTTTAACTGCTTTTCTTGTACACATATAACATATCAGTTGCAAAGAGTGTTTGCCCTCTTCTCTCTTCCACTTCCACTATAGTCTACATGATGTCTTCAAATGCATCATGATCTATGTGCAAAGGTGAAGGGGGATTGATGTATACAACTACTTTTATTTTTTATTTTTGTGTGATAGTATACAACTATTTTTACCTATGTATAATCTGTCAACGCAAATAACTTGATATTGAGTTGTGTTCCACATTGATGTGACATCTTGTACTGAAGTAAAACTGACATGGAATATGTCCTAGACGATTACCTTAATTTCATTATGATACAAATGTTTCTGAAATGAGGTGAATTTTATGATGGTTGGATCTTGTATGTACTCTTTTCTTAATTGGTTTAATCATTTATGTACAGCTTGCTTCCTATTATGGGGATGAACTGACTGATATTTCTTGAGTTATTTTAAATGTAGTACACACTCAGTCATTATAATTTCCATTTGGTAGTCTGATTAAATAAGATGAGGAAGTACATACTATATTTTTTGTGCCTTGCGTGGCATTTCCTAGTCTGTTCATGCTCATATATGCATAATCTAGAATCACTCAACATTATACAATTTTATAAAATTTATATTCAAGGTTTTCGATTATCTTCCCCTGGTAGAAACAAGGGGATTTATCTATCCCCTGACAAAGATTTTATTGTCCCATGCATTTGCTTTTTATTCTAGTTAGCCTTTTATTTATGTTTTTCTTAGGCCTTACTAATGCATGGCATAATTCTGAATAAGATTTTTATATAATTTTTTATTGCTTCAGGAGTTATACCATGAATTACATGCTCTGGATAGATTTCAGCAAGACTATCTCAGTAAGCGCCAAGAGGATGATAGTTCTGGTGCAGCTCATAAAGGTGATCGTATATCCTACTTGTGACACGATTTGCAACTCTTGTTTGTGATAAGCAATCTTTTATTGAAAATACAAAGCTTTCTAAAGAACATAAAGTCAAAAGAGAAGATTAATTGGGGCTTTTTGATAGAATGAACATTTGGAAGGTGGAGAATATGTCTTAAACTTGGACAAGACTGCCATAGTGTAATTGGTTAGACAGATATTTGCTTTCGTTGTTTACTGTTTCACTGTCTATACATCAGTAGTATCTGACCAATGTAGAATAACTGGTTATGCTATATCATGTCTCGTTTGTTTAATTATTTAGACTGCTAGTGAAAATGGTCTGCCATTTTAGTTTTGAACATCTACTAGAATGTTCCTTCTAATGGTATGCCACGCTGATTTATGGATTCCTTTGCACTCCTTTTGGAAATTATGACTGCTATGAAAAGTAAAGATGACATTTAAGTTAAAGAATTGATTCACCGAGGCTGTGAAATAAATGTAAACTTGCTGTTGTCTACTTGAGCCCTATTCTCATTATGCCAAGTCTTATAGCTTGTCATCCCTATGCGAGAATAATTGACAGTCAAAGAGATCACTGCTGCTACTTGCTAATGCATCTACTTTTGGTTCTGTACTAGAGTAGTAGAGTCATAGATTGTAATGTCTAGAATAGTATCGCATGCAATGGCCAGTATGCTGAGGAATTTGTTTGAATTTTTGAAATCAGAATTGCATAGGAGTATGATAAAGATATTCACTCTGATTGACATGTTTGACTTTACCATATATGAGCAATATTTTAGGAAAATCTTTTATATGTAACTTTTGACCTGAATGTCTCTCTACATATAGATGATAGCCTCCCAATCTTGAGGGCGGAACTTAAAACTCAAAAGAAGCAAGTTAAACAGTTGAAGAAAAAGTCACTCTGGTCCAGAAGTTTGGAGGAGGTAGCTTAGAGTTTAGATTGTTACTTTAGATGGATTTGTTTCTCTTGTCTCTTGATCAGTGTGATTCATATTCTTATGGATTACAGATTATGGAGATGCTTGTAGACGTTGTCCAATTTTTGCATTTGGAGATGGACAATATCTTTGGCAGTGAAGGTATAATATCCGTTACTTTCAGCATCTTGTTCTCGTTTCATATGATTCAGTTAATGTTACTTATTTATAACTATTGTGCATGTCTCAATCATATTGAGCTAAACGTATTGTTCTCGGAACATTTATAAGTTGAAATGGGAGAAAATGAATGGGAGAAGGGGCGGAGATGTAAAGATACTGGAAGGGTAGCGGGGAGAGTTATCTGGTTTTAATTTTTTCTCTCATCACTCACTCTCGAAAACAGCATGTATTGAAATCTGTATTTTGCTTCTTACTTGTAATGATTTTTATCCATGAACTACTGCAGATCGTCAGAAGCCTGTAATTGGATGCAGCAGCAGTCGTCAAAGATTGGGTCCTGCAGGCCTTGCTTTGCACTATGCAAATATAGTACTCCAAATCGATACTCTTGTAAGTTTATCTTCTATGATGCCTTTTTTCATTAAAAGTCTCTAATCTAAAATGTGCCTTTTCCAGGTGATAGTTTTATTTTATTAATCAAGTATCAAGAGAGTCTTATCTTATTATTGCCTTTAAATATTGGATTTCTTCATCAGTTTCTCGTAATAAACACTTCCCCAGCATAACATGATAGCACAATTATCTTGATCCAAAATTATATGAACCTAAATTTCTATTTGCTACTTTTGTTGACGCAAAAATATGTGCATGTGAACAATTAACAACCTGATGCATTGATGCTTAAACTTGTTTCATTCACCTAGGAAGATGGTCCTATATTAAAAAAAATATTGAGTATTTGATAATGCTCAATTTGTATGCATTGCCCATATCGTCAAAGGATTGGACTGCACTTGGCAGCCCAAAATTCCTTTTTAATGTCTTTTAACTAACAGTACAACTAAAACATTAGGGGGAAAGGCCACTATTTGCGTTAATTGTTAAGAGTCCTGACATTTGATAGTCGGGCTATGATTTGATCACAAGATAAATCCCAGGGAAGCTTTCTGATTTTAGTGTAGTGAGCCATGCTGCTTTAGTTTCTAAGAAAAATTTGTTTAGCTGCAATGAATAGACCTGTGCTGAGTTGGGTTGATGTTGGCAGGTTGCACGATCCAGTTCTATGCCTGCAAATACAAGGGATTCATTATATCAGAGCTTGCCTCCTAATGTAAAATTGGCTTTGCGTTCCAAATTACCGTCTGTTCACGTTGCAAACCAGGTTTGTTTATATGTTGCAACTTTCTTATGCCACCACAGCTTACATCCTTGTATTGTTAAAAACCAACGGGAAATACTCAACCCATTCTGAAATCAATTTCTTATGTTCTTTGTTGTTCACTTCTTCTTAAGTAAAGGCATCTCCTCAAACCTCAAGTCCTCAACTAATTATTTGTCCTTTGTTCTCTAAAGATGACCGTAACAGAGATCAAAGATGAGATGGAGAAGACATTGCACTGGCTGGTTCCAGTTGCCACCAACACAGCCAAGTATGGTGTTTTGTTTTTCTTCAAATAAATCATTTTATTTAATACATGTATAATCTGTTGTAACTTTTTGGCATTTCATTGCTGTAAAATTGACTCAGGGCACATCATGGTTTTGGTTGGGTTGGGGAGTGGGCGAACACTGGGTGAGTAACTAGTCAGTTCTTTTACAACATCTAAACTTGTTTGTTTGTTTTCCCATTTTTAAAGTGATCGTTTGGTTCTTGCAGCTCTGAGGTAAATAGGAAGAACACGCAGACTGACGTGATGCGAATTGAGACATTTCACCATGCAGACAAGGACAAAGTTGAAAGTTACATTCTTGAACTTCTTTTATGGCTTCATCGCCTGGCCATCAAAAGTAAGGCTAACAGTGATTTTGGTGAAGCAAAGTCTACGCTCAAGCCAGCTGCCGGCACTGCTTTGCAAAAGACAGATGAGCAACCTAAGAATGCTGAGCATCCGTTACTAACAATTGATGAACAAAACCTGCTGCAAGATGTAATTAAGAAAACACGGATCCGAGGAATCAGCAAGAGCTTGGACTTCGACAGCATGAATACTACAAGGGAGAAGAGCAGCAGGCTGACAAGGAGTTGCAGCCATTCATCAACAACTAGAAGCAAGGAATCAACATTTAATAGGATTTCGTCTAAGCTTCCTCTGATTGATTTTGGCATTGACAAAGAGAGAGCATTGGATGTGATTGACAGAGTGGACATGGTCAGATAGTTTGTACATACAACGTATTCATGCTGCACTGCTGCAACCGTTGATTGCCAATTCATGGCTGCACTTGTGGTATCTTTGGCTTCATTAAATTGTTTTGGTGAAGTGCTATTGTACAAAACACTCATGGCACAAAGGTAGAATGAAGGGAAAACAGGCTTTTCTAGTCTCCAAAAAGATGATTGCATTGCCCGCTTGGGGCTGAGGCAGAGTGGATTGCGTTTTCATCGTGCATAGACAATAGGAGGACGGGTGCCTGCCTAGTTTTGGATTGCTGCACTGGTTACTTTTGGCTTTGGTGTATCCTTGAACGCTGCCAAAAGTGGAACCTATTTTTTATTTTTTAATAGAAATGTAGATCCAGCTTTTATAGATTGTACATCATCTGAATAAAAGTAGAATCATTGAATATGTATGTACAAGAGCTTGATGTTTTGAGAGTTTGTCTTTATTGTTTGGTACATGAGCGGAGCAGATTTAGAGTAGTTGATTCACCTTGAATTAGCGTATCTCACAGTTTCAATTAACATGTTATTTCACTCTAATATTGCTAGTTTCTTTCCTCGACCTGCCTAGCTCTTGGAGAGTTTGCTGTAACACTACTGTGAATGTAGCTTGTGGATTCTTCCAAGTCTGGGCAAAACGTGTAGCAAGATATTCTATTTGCTTTTGAGCAAGGGAAGGGGTTAAAAAGAGAGTTTTTTTTTTTTTTTGGGGGGGGGGGTGGGCGGGGATGGGGCATGATTCATGTTTGTGTTTTATTCTCAGTTTGGGTTTTTTTTTTAATCTTCTTTATCTTGACCCAGAAAAAAGGGTAGAATCCTCCCCAAAAGCCCGAATTATATGACTTGGCATGTGAATAATTAAGTAATTTGAATTAATTGAAATTATATATAAATTGGATAGGAAAATTGTCAATTGATTCCGTAACTGCTTTATTGTATTGTAGTTTTTTTATATAGTAGTGTATCATGAATTATACGAATTCACATTTCTTGTCACAGTTATATTTTGTTTCCTTCTTAGTTATTACAATACATAAAGTATAATAAAGCTGGGGGGGGGGGGGAAGCCGGTCTTGGATTTTCAGCTTTCTACATGGATCTTTTCCCAAACTCATTTAGAAATTAGAAATATTTTCTAGACTTTCATTTGGTTTTAAAACACTTCTGATATAAATTGTATTTAAACATTGTTTTTTTTGGGGGGGGGATTTTATCCCTATTGTAACTATTTTAACAGGATTTTTCTTTATTATTGTTCTTAAAAAATATTACTTCCTGAAATCAACTATTTTAACAGGATTTTTCTTTATTATTGTTCTTAAAAAAAAATTACTTCCTGAAATTCTCAAAATTGAACTGGCAACGTTCAACTCAGAAGTGATCCACATTCTAATCACCCAGCTTGAGCTTTTCAGCCGGGTAAACCCCTTCTGTTCTACTCCTCCTCTTTGCCTTCTGTGATGGATATTTCGTAGCTTTGTCTTTCACAGAATCACCAGATGATGTCTTAATTGATGCTGGATCTTTTTCTCTGCCGCTCCTCCTGCAATACAACATGTTCCGAAAGTATAGCTCAAATCAAAGGCGTTCAAGAATCAGAACATCCTTAAAACCACAATAAGCATTCGATACAAACCTGAAGTGCAAGAACATGACCAACATGCCAACCGCAGCAGTGCCACCCAGGACTGATTTTAACATTAGCATATTTTGAGGTTTCCCTCTTGGTCTTTCTACACTTGCCTCTTCTTTTTCAACCAATTTATCAGCTGATGGAAAAATCTTCTCATCTTCCGGTGTTATTTCTTCCTACGTCACAACAAAATCGACAGAAAGTTTCAATTTTGATATAACCTACTGGTTAACAGAAACATGCTTGAGATGGGATCAATTCTTACTGGAAGATGCGTCTCGCTAGTACATTCTGAATGGCTTGCAGGATCAATGTCGTATGTATGTGCTTGATCACCATCTTTGCATTCAAGATTTGTTAAGCAGGATCGTGTCTGAGATACAGCCTCATCGGTTACCACATGCAGTACTCTTTCACCTTCGTAACCTTTGTCATGATCATTAGCATCTTCCTCGCTAGAGGGACAATTTTCATGGTAATCCATGCCTACAACATTGGATAAAACAGCCTGAGAATCCTTGTTTGGCTGTTTGCCATCAATGTTAAATTTCATCGTTGCCTCCTCTTCATTTGATTCAGAGGATATGACTTCAAAAGCTTCATGTTTTATACAAGGAGTATTTTCCTCATAGGATCCCACCTTTAAAAACGATGGGGGAAAACTTCTACGATCGTTAGGTGATATCAAAGCACATTTTCCTTTCTGATCCCATTTACAAAAATCAGACGATAAGTAGGACTGAAATGACAGCAAATCCTCAGACTCGTGAAAACTAGCATTAGAAGATAAAGAATTCTTATTGTCCTCAAATTTCTCAACAGAGTGGCTAGAAGGGACCTCATATGCCCTTTTCCTATATTCCATACCGTCCTGAGATTTATACCCTTCGATTATTTGGTTCCACCAATCCATCTTTTCATTGTGAATTTCAAAAGACTCGAGGGTCTCAACATTGTCCTGCGCATCATATCTATTACTCAAGTTGACTGGTTTCATTGGCCAATTTCTCAGAACTTCCATATTGTCACAGATCTCAAAATATCCCGTGTCATATTCAATACTCCCGGGAGTTGAGTTTGAACCATGAGAACTGGCACTGTGATGTAAATTTGATGTGCTATTTCTTCAAGAGTTGGGGTTGCCACTTGCTCCAAAGCATCTCTTCTTATAAACAAGTTTTGCTCAGAATAATCAAAGCCCAAAATGCCATTTTCTTGAGTATGTTTGACTCTAGTATCTAAATGTGAACTGTCGCAGGAAGGAGATGATGACCAAGCGAAGGTACAATCATGTTCTATGTTCCCTGAGCAAGGATGCAACGATTTCTCTGAACTTAAAAATTCAAACTCAGCCTCAGAATTTTCAATTCTCTGTTGACTTTGAATATCCAGTTGATCTACATCTTTAGACATAAAAGGACTCTGGATCGATGGAGGAACTCGTGTATCTTCCACACTGGAGCTTATCTCCGATGTGCTATCATACAAGAAATCGGTATACAGTCCATCAGATTGAAGTTCAGCATGATTTATTTCGGTGGCGTCAGACTCTTCCAAATATGTCTCATGGAAATTGGAGGAGGCTGTAACAGAGTAACCCTACAAAAGTACCATGCTAAAGAATTAATAGTAGCTAAGCATGATAAATGCAGACGTCTATTCATTGGAAATTAAATACTTGTCTTTTTTAAGGTTCCTAGCTAACAAGTAAAAGCAAGGACACACCTGCCTGTGTTTTGCTTCTACATGCCTCCGCAAGTAATAAGTAGGAGAATCTGCGAAGCTACTTTGAGACAGCTCTAAGTTTCTACGAATGCATCCAACCATATCCTTGGGCATAGTTATTGTGCAAGAAACAACATCAAAATCTGGAACCTGTCACCACTCGTTTTTGAGTTTAGCAGGAACGGAACTATTGAAATAGTAAGATATAAGAGCAAATGGTTTTATGGACAGGCGTGGACATTGTCTTACATTTATATGCTTGGACCTTGCCTTTTTGGAGAATGAGCGTATACACATACTAACTTTTCGAGTATTTCTTTTCTCCACAACATCCGATGGAGAGAAGAGGTCTATGCCAGTCAATCCCAAGATTTTGCAGATCTACGTATCAAAAAATGTCACAACTCAGAATCTATTTGCACCAACAATAAAGAGATTAAAAAACAAATAAGCAGAATACTTTGGACCTTGTCTACCCATATGATCACGTCAAAAGATGCTTAAAAATGCAGATGAGCCCCCCAGGCCACAGGATTCAAATCAGAAGTGCCAGCAGCCCAGCACCACTCTCCATACAATTACGCTTCACTAGACTCAAGAAATAACAAGAAAAATTGCCAATTTGGGAATCATAATAATGCGCTGTTCTTTACATTTATGTTGACTTCCTTTATTATCAACTACATAAATGTTGTTTTGATCATTACTATTGGCAGTCTAGCAGGTTTTTTGGTGTAAGGTGTTGCTGAATTCTAGGTAATTCTCTGTACTCCAACACTATATTCTGTTACAAGTAAGAAAAATATATCGCAAAAGGGAACTCACTTTCAGAAAAGAATCAACGTTAGAATATGGCCTATATCTGCCACTGTTCTCCTTGGAAGCAAGAGGCTGACGATGGTACGCTATTACGCGCCTTAACTCCAAATGCTTAGCCAACATCAATCTCCACACCACTTTTGAAACTTGAAACCTACAAACCAGTGAAGCTAGTTAAATTCAGAAAGAACATCAAATGCCAAACTGACAGTTTGCTGCTCAAACTCCTCTGGGTTTTAATTCCCACAATCACAAGACAATAGTTATCAGTTCCATCCCTTGATTATGATAAGACTAGTATTAGTCGGTACGTACAGCAATTCTCCGTCAGCAAGCACCTCAGATATAACGAGATTCTCATCTAAACTTATTTGCAGGACTTCTCCGAGCCAAATTCTCGTTTGAGTCTGCAAAAGAATTGGAAAGTGAGACAGTAGTGATCAGATATCGGTCTTAGCTGAGGAAAAATAAATGGAAGCTCAGAGGAGACATTGATAAACCTGGAGGAAGGCATCCTCAAGTTCCCGGAAGCTGGATTCCGATGATGGTGAGGAAGGTTGGAGGAGGTGGGGGGATTGAGATCTGTGACGGGAATCATCATCGCAACCCATTACGGCGGAGCTTCTCAGAAGAAGAGATAGCGCCGATGCGAATGGATTGGATGAAGAGAATGGAGAGAGTAAATAAGACAAACTGAAAAGGAATGTAGAGAGAGAAGAGGGACAGGCTAGTGTGAGATATAGTATATTTGTTGTTATTCTCCGGTTTGGATGCTCAGAGTGATTGAGAAGTTAAAAGGTGAAGCTTACAAAAGACATTGCCATGATTCTGAGCCTTTTTTTGTTGCCTGTTTTTCTTTATCGTTCAAAGGCACTACCACCCCATTTCCCTGTTCCATTCCGCGGATGGGTCAACTGTACACTAAATCTTAAATAATTCTCACAGCCAGTCTCATAAGAGGAGAAGCGCCTCATGTTTCCTCTTGGAACCAATAAAAAAAAGTCACGTTCCTTCTCCTTCCTTTTGTGTAATTACACGTGTCTAGTCTTTTATCAACATTCATTATTAACGTTGCTCATTCTTAAATTTTCCAATATTGAATCAAAAGATCGACGACTTTGTTTAATCAAATACTGCCGCTTTCTTTGACTTTTTTATTACAATGTAGCCCCAGCTCAATAGCCCATCGTTAATTTTAAAGTTCATTACTTAAGTAAAAAATGCAAGATGACCCCGCACCTGAATATATTGAAAATGAGCTCTAAGAAATTCGAACAAAATGAATTTTGTTAATAGAAGACCCACCCCGATGAGTAGCCTAAAGAGGGGCCAAGCCAATCAAAGTCATATCTGTTCCGTCATTCCGTGGCTGTTTGTTTTCTATTATTGTGTGTCTTTTTCCTCTGAGAGCGGGGTAAAAAAGCAGTCGTTGTCGTTATAAACAAGTGTCTTTGATTTCACTTCAAAATTGATTAGGTCTCGTGAAGTGTACCATGATGTTAGGTTTATAAAACAACGGCCACGCCAGGACTTTGAGTGCCACTTACTAATAGCTGACTGGCGGTTGTGAAATTTGAAGATGTTTACGTCTGAGAAGTTTGAGGAAGAGTGGGATAGAAAAGCGAGGAGGAAAAAAAAAAAAACAAAGAGGGATCAGAGGGACAATATGATTCACCAAAATGGGACCCTTGTTAATGGTAACCATACTAACAACGTGGAAACCAGGCATGTTCACATACCTCAGCTTCCCAACACCGCACAACCTTCACCAATAGGATTCCGTGATGTGTCCTTCTCAGATTACTCCTCCTATAAACAAAAGCTTCTTTTTGTTTCTATGACAAGGCATCGCTGATCATCTAATCGAAATAAAAAAAAAAACTATGTGATTAAATTATTAACTTTATTTAAAAATAAATAAATTTTTTATTTTACTTGTATTTAAATAAAAAATTTTAAATTTTCATTACAATATCTCTCATGGTTAATAACTTTAATTATAGATAATATTAAAAAACTTTATTAATAGTCATCAAGTAACTTATAATAAGGATCATCCATCTTCTCTAATTGTAAGTTCAAAAACTTAAATTTATTGAATTTCGTTTATACATTTTAATATTAATATAAAATCCTTGCTCCTTAAAAAAAAAAATTAAAAGTCTTGTTTGGTACATTGAAAATAAGAGTATGAAAATAAATTGAAGATGGAAATTAAATTTTAGGTTGTTGATACGCCATATCTTATTTCCATGTTGAATTCAATTCAATTAAAAATGACAGAAATAAATTCCATCTGCTAACCCATGGAATTGTGTAAAATTCTATGGAAGCCAAATTTTTATCATTTTTGCCCTTCTTATTTTTGGACTCCTTGTCTCCCTTGGTCATCGAACTGACAAAACAGCACTTCCTCCTCGTCTCTCATCATCATTGGACACTGAATCAAAGAATAGGGAAGATGGCAGCAATGATTATCTGTTGTACGTCTACTATGCGTGGCAAAGATGGTGGTAGCAGACTCTTTGTCATCATCACCGGACTCTTCCTCTTCGCTTCATTTTTCTTCGTCTTTGACTTCAACTCCGTCTAGATCTCTATTAACAATGGCGACCAAATCTCATCTCTTCAATTCATTCTTCATCATCTTCAACTTCTCCCTCTCTTGTTTGCTTCATCCTCACACTTCTTCGTCTTTGACTTTGTCTAGATTTATAGTCTCGACTCTCATCCAAATCTTCAACAGCAACAGCAACCAAATCTCCAACTACATTTTTGATTCATCATCTATGTTGTTGATGGATGGTGGTGCTGCTGGGATTGAGTGTCTCTGATGGTAGACTATTGGTTTTGTTAATCTAGGGTTTTTTTTTTTTACTTGAGCAAGGATATTTTGTCTTCAAATATTATGCAAATATATTTTTAATTAAAAATATATCAGGAGATCAACATACCAAGCATATTTTTAAACCTCAAATCTATTTTCACTTTCATATTCATATTTTTTAATCAAAATCATTTTCATCATTACTAAATAAGACGTAAGGTGAATTCTGCTGTGTTTTATTTTGGTAAAAGGAGAGGATTGTCTTAATAATAAGTGCGCGAGGACCGCCATTTTTAAGCCTGACATCGCTCAACTGGACTTGAGCTTCGACCCAGCGACTTTCAACTGATATCCGAGAGCTTTTCCTCACATATTGAAATTAAATAAATAAAATTAAAAAATTAAGTGGAAATAAATCAAGATCAAGAATCAGTCAATATTTTGGGTGGAGCCCCTTCAAATTTAAATTCAGCATGGAATGTGAAAATGCGGACAGCTAAATAGTCCAGTAATAAATTTACAGTGCTACAGTAATGACGTTCTAGAAGTTTAAAAAAAAAAAAAGTATTGAAAAATTATAGTATTTATTTCTTGCTGGAGGGAGTGACCAAATACACGACCAGACCAACGAGACCGACCCAATGGGGCTAGAAGCTGACAAATCGCAAAATGTCGATGGCATGAAAGGATGACACTGAAATCAAGTTGCTACTTCACGAGACGTTCAGAATGGATATGAACATTCTTAACAGAATACAAATATTAAATGAATCTTTAGAAATATAACAATGAAACAAGGAGGGGAAAAAGAAACAAAACAAAACAAAACTAGCCTGTGCAATATCATCTGAACTGTCCAACTGTAGACGGAGCTATGAACTGCCAGAAAATTTGGGACTTGTGAGAAGATGCTTTATCCAAAATTGTTCTCTGTAACATACAGAGGAAAGAGCTGAGGAATTAGGAAGGTGAGGTTGGATCAGGATCAGTTTCATTTGGGATTTGGCAAAATATGTCAGGGCATGAGTCCCAGATCCCCTTCTCCCTGGCCTCCCAGTACCCGCCAGCGTAACGGTAACCGTTTCCCTCTTTGTCCTTCACAAACCACCTTGGCTTCCAACCCTTCTCTTGCATCCTCCTTGCCTGTTAATTATACTCACTCTTTTATTACCACTACATAAAAGCACCGCATTAGAAGTTAAAGTTCATGTGCACGCGTTATACCTGTCGCTGTCTCTGTTCCAGCCGCAACTTCTCAGTATTGGCCATTTCGTACTCTCCATTCTCCAAAAATCTCTGATCAGGTCTCAACCTCGAATCTGTGGGTGGCAACTTCTCCTGTTTGGAAACTTTAATGTCACAAACTCAGACATAGCCTCAGAGGATTTTGTGAAGCAGAAAGCATTCGAGAAAAAGCACTTGCCCTCAATCCAGGTGTGATTTCGTTCAGAGCAACAGCGAATTCGGTAAAATTATATCTTGTCAAGTGGACGGGTGGCTCGTTCCGCTTCCACAGCAGACACGGTTTTGACGACCCGCTGGATTTTTTCCTTTTAGAATTGTCATTAATTATACAGTGCAAACTCTCGTCCCATTTCCCACAGATCGTTGCTACTGTTTTCGCATTCTTATCTTCCACCACGCCTTGCACCTGCGCCACGACTTATATTACCCAGCATGATCGAAGTGCTCAGCAGATCAGTTATTTTTTGCCAAGGAACGTCCAAAGGCAACAATCTCTTCCATCAAACTTATAGGATTTATTCGAGTCAATAACCAGAAGAAAAGAAAGAGCAGTCAAAGCTACTACAAAGTACAAAGCGGTTGAGGAAGTGTGAAATAGAACTAGCATATGAAGCTTTTGCAACTTAAATGCAATTAAAGTGCAAGAGGCCCCAATTAACACACCTCTAAGACAATCTAACGATTTAAATTTTCTTGATTCCCCGCATCCAAAAGCAAGAAATGATAAATAATAGGATTTATCTAGAAAGGGCACCTGGTGAGGGTTTCGATCCATTATTGACTGCTCCTTAAATTTAAGCTTACATGAATACTCGCAGTTCCCTTCTATGCGCATTGTCCCATAATGGTCGCAGTACAGTTTTCCTAAAATTAGATTGTAAATGGATGTCGTTACCTGATGATAGAATATTAGACAATCAGTAGCCAGGCATCTTAAAAGATATAGACAATTTACACAACTACTGTTAGGCAATTCTTTAAATTGTACCAAAGATAGGTTAAAGCAGTCAGTAGGTGTAAATTTGCTTTTTCCCAAAGGGAAAAAAAAAAAAAAGTGTCAGTAGGTGCAAAAAAAGACGTATAAGTAAATCCTATAATGACAATACCTTACTCCACCGAACGACCTCCCCGTCATCAAACTCGACGGTCAGTAAACCAACAGGATCAAGCTGAATGGAACGACCCCGGAATTTACTTTTTAAATTGCCGTCGCCCCAAAATTTCCAGCCACCGCCCTCACAATGGCATGCAACAACCATGGGATGATGACTGACCTATCTCAATGGAATGATATTCAAACAAAAAAAATTGTTCAATCTTTTTCATTTTCGTTTATATATGTTTTTCTTTTTGAGGAGTAAATGCTAACTTTCTGCAGTACACAAAATACCTTCTCAGAGATAAAGCGAAAGCCTTTATCTGGGAAATCTGCCTCGTATGTCTCACCCAATAGTGGATTAAATGGTTTGCAACTCCTCCCAAGAGTGCTAGAATACCCTGAAACTGCAAATGCAGCCACCTCTAGCACCCTCATAAGACTGTTACCCTGTGTACAAACCTTGGGTTGTAGCAATTGCCTTGGTGAATAACCAGCTCTTGTTCGAGAAAGCAAACTAACCTTTTGACCCCATTCAAATGCTCGGTCTAGAAGGTAAGAATACTCGAGGTCTTCACAACATTTCTGCAATGAGGAAAGAGGCTCATTGAAGTAAACTGGGAGGCAAACGCTTGTGAGATCCTTCCCAATATTATCTTTAATTATTGACCATAGACTGGCGGCCTTCTCTTTCTCAACAGGATCGGGCAATTTCTTTCGTCTCGTCACTAGAGGATAATTGGATCTCGCAGTAAGCGAATTTACGTCATGTGTTTCGGTAGAGGTCTCCTCACAATCAGAATCAGATTCATTTTCTCTACAAGAACTTAACGAAAGAATATCACTTGTATCAAAGAATGCATCATTGTCATCGTCAGACTGATCATGCCTGTATTGATCGTCAGAAGAATCACTTGGACTTCCATCTGCGTATAATATCACAATAGTGAAATGACTAGAGGGATGGGTAAAAATGAATTTATCAATCATATAATATTCTCCTTCTCCTACTTTTCCTCTCCTCAGTCTGTTTATTCTGGCGCAAGGGTGGTCTATTTGCGAAAATAATTCTGAAAATAATGTGGTTATAGCTGAAATCTGCTACAAGTCACCTTTAATAATGTCACAATTAATTTCATAATAGTAGGCAACAAAGCATATAATTAATATCTCCTTTTTTTAATTAAGATAAAGGTGAAATTGTCTAATTATACTTAAAAATGTTACATTCTTTATATTTAGATACAAATAAACTTTAAAAAAAATACCCAATATATGCAATATTTGTCTGCTTACAAAGGGATCTAGGTGAAATTATTTTTAAGCTTATCCACAGGATCATAAAATGGCATTGGGCCACTTATTTCTTGAAAGCCTTTCGGGATCAGCCCAGCCAAAGGACTTGTAAACTAAATCCAAACTAGGAGTAACCCAATCTTCGCAAATGGGAGGCAGGGGTAGTACTAATTAATTCAAGCAGGTGGTGACGGTGCCACCCGAGAGAAACACGTGTAGAGTGAGTCTGCCGCAATACAATACCATAAGTGAAGTAATATTATTAGTTAGTTAGGAAGAGCAAAACGTACCGCTAAACTTTCCATGCTTTGATGTAAGGGAACCTCCAACACCGACCTTTGACTGCCTTTGGGTTTCATTGACAAGTGTGTTTTCCAAGTCAACTTTTTCTGTCTAAAAAATGCAGTCCGCTCACCAGTCATAATAAGAATTATCAAGCTATTAAATTACCTCGAAAGCGTTTTGTTATGGAGTATCACAAATTCCATTTTTGTCAAGGGTTCAGTTTTGTTTGTGAGCGATTTGGATTAGTGAATCTAAATTAGAAGACTTGCCTCTAAATGGCGCAATGAGTCCAACAGGAGCTTCTGCTTCTGCTTGAGGGCCATGATATGTTTATGCATCTGCACGAGCTCGCTTCTCATAATATTTTCACTCTCCTGTATGGCAATCTCACTGACACCCTCCTCCAAGAGGCGTTGCCTTAACTTCTGGGTGGACATTAGCATCGTCTCGTGCGGAGCCATTATCTCTGCATTCTTCGGCGAGCGTGGATACAAACCCTTCACGGCCTTCAATGCCTCCACCCACGCGTCCCTGTCCTCCCTGCTCTCCGCCCTCAAATGTAGCCTCTTCTTCGTCCCCGTTTTCATAGAAAACCTCCTCTCATCGGACTTGCTCTCTCGTATTGAACACACCTACATCAATTTATATATGCTTAACTTTCAGAATATTACACGTTCCAGATCGGGTCCAACTGTTGGAAAAGAACAATCGTATGAATAATTGGGCAAAATTGAATCGAGAAAGACCATGAGATGGATTTCGCAGACGGGTTTGCGTTGGCGAGAGGGGTTATTGCGGTGACTGGCAATTCGACGGAGGGACTCTTCCCCGATGACCATAGACCCCCTTTCGACTTCTCTATTGAGCACGAGCTTATTGGGGCCGTGGATTTTGAAATAAGAAAGAACGCCGTCCTGGAGAACGAACCACCGCGCGCGCCACCCGCGACCGTAATTGACCCACTTGTACAAGATGCCAGAGATTCCATTTCCGACAATGCCATTGATCATGACCCCTCGATGGTTGTGTTGGCGAGAGGTTATCGCAGACACGGACCGTTGGACCACAGAGGCGGGGTTGCGTTGAGTGGAGCCGTGAGAATGACCAATGGTCGAGTGTGATCGGAAGGACGACATTGCCGGGGCCGAACCGCTTTGGTATGCCTCCGGTAAGAGTGAAGCGGAGCAAGCGCCAGTTGGACCGGTTTCGTTACGGTCCTCAGAGACATGGCGAAACGGACTCATGAGTAACACCAATTGCAAAAGTGGAAGACGATCATTGAATCGTCATATAGTCGAGCAGAAGAAGAAAGCCTCGGGGTAGCGTCGTCAACGCGAAACCCAACAGTGTTGGCTCGCCGCGAAAATCGCCCTCCGTTTCTAAGTTTTTGTTTTATTCCAGAAATGGAAAGAGAAGTAAAAGTACAAAAATTATACTCGCTTAGTTTCGTTGATGTTGGTCAAGAAATAATTTTTCGTTGACAAAATGCGATCAACGGGCACGGATGTGCATCAGAAGTCTAGAAGCCATGCCCAGCAGAGGATTCTCTGGTCCTTTCCAATTTCTCGATTTCCATTTTTCTCCTCTCTTCTTTTATCATTATTCTTTTTTGGTTTTGAACAGATTCTGTTATCAAAAGTCATTTGAACATGGATCAAATTTAATACTGTATAAATCTTTTGTTAAAATATTAGGTGTCAAAAATTAATAAACGAAGATAATTTATAAAATTTAATTAGTAATCCGAGGTAACGGGGAGCTATTATTAAAATATTTAATAAATGATTTTTTTTTTTCCTTTTCCCACTGCGGTCATGAATTATCCGAAATAAACTTTAATAGATTAAATTATATTTCTGTATTTTAATTGATAATTTATAGTATATGTTAATCCATAATCCACAACAATAGCATATTGAAAATTGTTGGGCAGTTGGCAGGTGCGGATGGGCAATTAAGAGCCGAGGGCTAGCATAATGTATTTTTTATTGCAATTAAAATGACGAGGAGGAAGTTAGACACTAAGAAGTAATCATGCGTGAAACAGTCAGTGCCGGAAAATCAGGATCGGTGTCAACATGGAAAGCCGAAGTTTAGATTTGTTTGTTTATTGTAGCTTGGATTTCATACATGGTTGACAGTGGACAAACAGAGAGAAGTGGATAAAACAAGAGAGGAATCACAGTTGAGATTCAAAAAAGGAAAGAAGCGGGAAAGGGGAATGGGCAAAGGAATGAAGAGGAAACAAAGAAGAAAAGAAGGTCTAATCGTGGAGGGGAAGCTTGTTGAGTTTAGAGAAGCGATAGTCACTGAAGGAGCGAGGCTCGTAGTTGGGAGGGTTATCCTGAGACAGGAGCTGAGGAAGAGGTCCTACCAGGAAGTCGCCAGGAGGCTCCAAGAACACCGGCCACGACATCCTGCTTCTGTCCCTGTCCACCTTGGTTCTGTGCAGCACGCTCTTGTACTTGCCGTTGCTCGCTATCTGTTCCTCCATCACATCATTCCACTTTTATTATCATTGTATATTTATATTTATAACTTTATTTTCACATATAAATAAAATTATAAATTTTAAGAAATATTTATCATTCACTTTTTTAAACTATCTCTCATAAAATTAATGTTTCTTTTATTTTAGTTAAACAAATTTATTTTATTAATTACAGAATAATTTAACTTAATTTTTTAAATTTTAAATATAATTATTATTTTTAGTTAATGTTTTTGTATGCATTGATTATTTTTAATATTTAGAAGGGAGGAGCTTACATTTACAACCTCAACCTATATATCAACGTCCAATGGCCTCCTGTCTATCATTTAATGTTTCACTTTCAAATTTCACGCGTCCTTTTCATGAGGTCATACGTTCATGCTCATGTCTCCGCCGATTAGCTTCGGTATGAGACAAAAGGGCGTGAAATCATGGGGAGATGATCGGGAGATAAGTCTCTCCATTTCTTTCATCTCTTTTTTTTTTTCACTTTCCAGTCGTGATTATTAATATCATTATATTAAATAAATTTATTTCATTATAAATTTGATGAATGATTATGATTGATAAATAAAGAATAGAAATTTTATCAAAAAAAAAAACAGAGAATAAAAAAAATGGATAGAGCCCTCTTTCATATTAATGTGCTATAAATTACCTTTTCGGTTTTCCTGTCTGTATCAAGTCAACAAAGTAGAGTGTTATCTCCACCTCATTTGATATGTACTCATTTTTTTTTATTTTCTTGATCGTTATAATTAGGATTTGGATTATTTATGTGTAAAACTTTTCAAACCAAAATAGCGAGAGTAAAATCAAGATTTTATTCATGTCTAATTAAATTATTCACGTTTCACTCCGTCCAGCCGAAAGAATGAAAAAAACTTTCTTGTGTATATAACACATGTTTACTTATACTCTCCATTCAACGCTTACATGCACAGTTTGTTATTGTTCGTTTATACTTAAATTAAAAGGTAGGGTCTCCACCTTTTGAAAATTATCAAGTCAATATTTTGAAATCAATGTGTCCTGACAAATTAGAATCTATAATTACTAAAATCTTGCTCTACAGGCGGCTACATGTCCATTTTTTAAAATTATAGCTTTCGTGCAAATTTTAAAAAATTAATTTATCACAAAACTACCTGCATTTATTCTCCTTGCCATATCTTTTTTGATTCATTTAAAAATTATCAAAATCATTTCAAAATTTAAAAGGTTATAAAAAAAATAAAGCAATGTTTATACCATTATATTATTCCACATCTAATTTACTGATTGTTAAAAAAACAATTTCATGAATTCATAATATCTCACCATCTGGAAGGTTGCAGATCTTCTAGATTCTCATCAAAATTAAATCATCAAATGTAAAACAAGATGTTAACTCCATAACGTTATAGTTAGATTAGATTCTCTTCGTCCAAAAAAAAAAAAACATCAGATTTTCGGGTGCGTGTCTTCAAGTGAACAGCGACAAATACATAAAGTTTATGGATCCCGCTACATTAGTAAATGCGGGACTCGCAAGCTTGTGTGCATCTATCGTTTTCTGCGCGCCTGTGTGTGTAGAGAGAGAGTAACACGTACGTCTCTCTGTTTGGGTGACACATGGCGACATTAAATGAGTGTTCATATAATTTTAGTTATTCGATTGACACTATGTTGGCTGTCAGCATTTAATAAAATAGTCATTGGATTTAACTATATATACTGCTATAATTAATCATGGTGCAAGGGTTAATAAAAGTACAACATGTTAACCAGAAAAGATAAGCAAAAATATATGTATATATATATTTTTCTTTAATTGTTCTATTTATAAGTCTCCCTTATTATGTTTTATCATAATTTAAAAAATTAAATTATATTAACAATATTTTAAAATTTAATAAGTTTTCATTGATAAAAAATCAAAAAAATATTTTTTAACATTTTCTCCCACCATTTAAAGATGACAAAAATATAAAAAATAATGAAATGGTCAATAAATAGGATAAGGATTAATCACCTCTCTCAGTCATAAAAATAAGATCACAGGAGTATATGGTTAAGATCTCATATAAGTTATATAAACACACACAACTCCATTTCAAATTATAGCACATTTTTAATTTTATTTTGCATGTCAATAAAAAGAGTTTATTTTCATACTTTAATGAAAAATGACGCCCATTTACTATGAAAAATTAAAATGATTGTTTCGTCGAATTATATTTATCATATATACTCACATATTACTCAATAGAATGATAATTTTTTAAAAAAAAAAATATTTTTAAAAGTACACAGTGTCCAGCATTCTAGACCAAGTTTAGTCCGAAAAAAATGTTTTATCATTTGAAGCGGAGGGAGTATTTTGTTTGCCGTGGCACGCATATGCTGGAAAAAATGAGGTGGTCAAGGAAAGGGAGGAAAACTAAACCTGAATCTGATCGCCGATGTGAACGATCAAAGCATTGGGGATATACTTGGCGTCGATCCAACGTTCATCGTGGAGAACTTGAAGGCCCGGAACTTCGTTCGGGACGAGAATGGTGAGAGTGGAACAGTCGGTGTGAGGAGAGACTCCCAGGGCCAGATCAGGGCGAGGACACGGTGGATAATAGTTTATCTTCAACATGTACTGTAGCTCCTCTCCTCCCACCGCCTCTTTCATCGCATTCTCCTCCAGCCCTAACCCTAATGACAGGCACCTGAACACCTTATCTCCCACCTCCCTCACATACTTTGCATACTCTTCGTTCACATCCCTGCAGGTACATACAATATTGTCATATCACTCAGAAATCAAAATACATAACATACAAGAACATGTCTATGTATATATGTACCTGTAAGACGGAGGATTCTCTGGCCAAAACTGGTAGTTGATTTTGGAGGGAGGCCATATGAGGTGAAAAAGATGGTCGTTCCAGCATTTCTTGCCGTAGAGATCCTTCTGAAGCATGGTTCCGTAGCCTTCGAAGCCTTGAGGTGGCTTGGCGTACTTCTCCTTCTCCTCCTGGGGGAGTTCAAAGAAGTGTTTCCCAACACTGCGCAGCTTTTGTAGCAGGTCACAGGGTATTCCATGGTTCACGAGCTGGAACAAACCCCACTCCTGGCTGGCCTTAGAGATCATCTCCACCAGACGGTCCTGGTCGGGATGGCTGAGATCAATGGTGGGTATGTCAGGCACGGGACCGCGAAATGTGGTCATGGCCGGCTGCTCTTTCTCCGGCCGTATGAACTCTGCCGGAATGGAGCCGGCGTTCAAGGACAAGGTAGCGATAGCTTGCACCCTCTCTACCTCCATGAAGTTTCCTGCGTGACTGTGTAGGGATATACGTGCAACTTCTTGCTTATCAAGGAGCGATGACGATATAGGTACATTTATAGAAGATGCATGTGAGTGTATCGGTAGACGGGTGGGATTTGTGAGAAGGACATCAATGAGGATTCAGAGGACTGGTAATGGGTGCTGGAGATGAGTCAATGAGGATGACTCTGAGGGTACAAAACCATTAATGAAGCCAGCCCCACTACCTCTGCAATCGAGGAATTGTCGTGGAGGTATTGTGTTCACCCTTTAGACTCAACTACCATTCCCCATACGTTGCCCTTTCTCAGCCGCTAAGTAGCTACTTTTTCATGCGATTATTCAAATGCGCGTGCTTTCCTTTCATTTCTCCTCCTCCCTCCGTCACCGACTCATTGTGGCAATTAAAAAAAAAATTATTTTGATCTTATTTATACAGATCTCACGTTATGCCCTTTAATAAAATTTTTTTTACAAATTTTAATAAAATATTTATGACCGTTTTCCTTATTTTACTCTGAGCTCAGATAATGATTCTTTTTTAAATTTGATTTAGGGTTTTAATTATAAGATCATGATTTTTTTATATTTAATTCATTTTAACTAATTTTTAAAATTTATGTAAAGTGGTTAACGTGAGAGGGGCTGAGGGAGCACGAAAAGCGAGGAGTTCAGCATTCGCTTGTGTGGCTGACATGCATACATATTTATTTTTCTCAAATGACAATGGTATAAAATAATGATTGAGTGTTGTAAATTACAATGATCTATGTATATATACAAACTAGTATAATAAAAGTTATAGCAAATGCCCTCGTCACTTAATATTTTCAGTATTTCGTGTAATACAGAAATCGTGTCTAATTTACAGAATACAATTCTTGAGAGATTTAAAGACAAAATGACATTACTGCATAAAAAATTACACACCATACTCTAATTCAATATATATAATGAGCAGCGCGAGGTGCGATGGGGAATATTATTAGGCACTGCCTGATATTTTTGGGCCAGAGTGGGGGCCCTTGACCAATACGGCAGAGTTACCTAGGCAATATCAATTTCAATTAGCACATATATCAAAATAAACTACTCAACGGAGTTGGGTCTATAAAAAAAAATTATTCCTGAATTAACATTTAAATTTTTATTAAAAAATATGCATATATTTAGTATTCAATTTTATCTCTAACAAAATTATTTTAGTAAGAAAAAAAAAACATGCCTGAACTAGGAACAAATAATTAACGCAGTGCACATATATAATTATATCTCTCTACCCCTTCTCACTCTCTTTCATCTCCCCCACAAATAACCTGAGAAATAAATAAATACTTGATTTTTATGCATGAAACTTTATGTGAAGTGAATTATAGGACTTATCAAGAGTCTAGCATGCCTCTTAACTCAAAGACTGCCCATAAAAGTATTTATAAATCATCTATCAACAAGATTTTTATATTAACAATAAAATTTGATCCTATTATTATTTTGTGAGTTATGAATTAAATTCTTACTAATTGAATCAACATTTTATGAATAAATAAATACTTTAATCAAGACATGAAATATCCTTTTCTTTTGAAGATGATTTTTTTCATTGGCCTTAAATTAAAATCGATCTCGTGCGTGTATGAGGGGTTTAACAAAGAACACGTGTAACTTATTTCACGGAACGAAGAAAAGGGATCGGAGAAAGGTACATTCAAGAAGGCAATAATTGTGATTCTTATGGGTGAAAAATTTATTCATGGATCATAATTGATGGCTCCCGGTGCCTCCCGCTTACTCACCTCTGAAATCAACTCACTTAAGCGCCCCAAAAACATCCTCATCCAACGAGTTAGTTAGCAGAGAATTGAGAACACGTCACTTGTTAGTTTTTTTTATTTCTTCTTTGTTTTGCCCAATTTATCACAAACTCCTTTTATTGGGAAAACAAAAATTAAGGGCTGGAAAAAAAGTTGTTGTGTTCGTGTTGATATTATTGAGATATTAAGTGTGAGTTGACTTATTTCAAAAAAAAGTCTACATAGAGTTGGGTGTCACCGTGATATAAACTTTCTTTAAAAAAGTGTGTTTATTTTTAACACATGTGAAAATTATTTTTGACCCCCCAACTTTGTAATATTTCAGTTTTTGCCTCCATGTATCAAGATTTAGATCCGTTACTAGAAGAGGTATTTAAATGAAAAAGATTCACAAACTCAATGTCTCAATATTTTGTATTAAGAAATGGCGGGCAACCTAGTCATGTTCTCCTCTTCCGAAATGTTCCCCAACACATTTCTTTTCCAGCCTCGGGTTTTATTAATTATTGTTATCTTATTATTTGGATGATCCATTATAAAGCAAATTAAATTAGTAAATGATGTTTTACTGCATTATATGATTCGATGTAAGTCTTAATGACGTGACCCACGGGCATTACGGTGTTTGATTCCTTCATGTATTAAAAAAGTAACCGGTCAGAAGGAGAAATTAATTTGCTCACCAGTGTTGTTGTAATTACATTGATTATTGCAAGATAACAATTCTGGTGGTATCAAAGTTTGTGTGAGACGTTAATTGAATATGAAATGCCGCGGACACTTCTCATCACGAAAATTATTAAACTTAAATTAAAACATAAAAATGATGAAAATGTTGTTAGATCTGTTTATCTCAATTCATATGTATAATAAAATATGATAGAATAAAGTAATTCATGCGTACCTGAAGAATCCATGAGTGCTAGAGAAATCTCGATTACCTCGAGTGTAGGTAGGTACACAACCCTCTAGTCCCCAGAGCCTTCAGAGAGTTCAGTGATAATGGAAGTAGAAGAAATGAGTCGTGTGTTTTCGGTTACCGACTAATCGTCTTATATAGATCAGATCGGTAAGTGCCTTATTAAATAATTAAATAATTATATTATCTATTATCTTGACTCAGTCAGTTAAGAGATAAGAAATAACTGACGGCTACTGGTTTGTGGGTTGGGCCTCTATCCATTGGGCTCACTTGTGTGGTCCACCTATCACGGTTCACACAAGATCACAAGGACCAATTTATTAAGCTTATCAATTAATGTTAATTCATAAATAATATTTCAACAAATGGTTGATGAAGCAATGAACACGTGTGGGGGTTGATCTTACATGGAGTAGGGGGCGTGTCATTTGCCGCCGCCGTCCAACTTGCGGCCTTTTAAAAAAAAAAATGAAAAGCATAAATACTCTCTCATCGTGTTTTTGAAAAGGGAAAAAAAAATCATAATGAAAGAAAGAAGGAAATAGGACCCTCGAGGGAGAGAAACAGCCCTTGTGCGTGCGTAACTAACTACGTACACATTCACGCCAGTAGCGGCAGTAGCATTAAATATTTGCCTTTTAAAATTAAAAAAAAAGGGAAAAACAAGTAATGAATTTAGAGATGGACCACAATTACAGATAGTGACCCGAAAAAATTTATTAGAGGAGGAAAATTTTAAATTAAATATAAATATTAATATTTTTGAAGAAAATACAATTTTAAATATTAATAAAAATAGTATATAAATAAAATATTTGATAATTTAAAAATATATATTAATTTTATTTGAATCATAAATTTTTTTATAAAAAATATAAGAGTAATTAAACAATGTTTTTAAATATTTATGCTTGATAATTTTAAAGAGAGAGTGGGGCAATTAATTTTTTATGGGGACAATTATAATTTTAAAAGCGGGCAAATGTAGTTTTAATTAAAGCTTGGGTAGAATTTTTATTTTTTTAGTGGTAGCAATTGCGCCCTCCATGCTTAATGTTGATATGTCCCTGCTCTCATTATTTCTTGTCAAGTTGTAATTATTGCGGGCGCGAGCGAAGGTACATTCACGTCAGTTGGCATAGCATGAACTCGTGCATTCTTGAAAAAGCATTTTAAATAAGGGTGTTCAGTCTGAACTCGTTCGATTGATTTAATATTATTTTAATCATATCAGGACGAGTCTTGTCCCGATCCGAAAATAATCGGGACGAGACTTTACGGGACAGGACAGGAAAAGAGTTCGAGATGAGACACGGGATTACCATCGGGACGTCCCGTCCCGTCCCGAATATTATATATATTATTTTTTATTTTAAATATATGAATTATATTAATATAATTTATACTTATATTAATTATATCAATTATAATTTTAATACTTGCAATTCTTATTTAAAACTAAAGTTTTTTTATATTGATAATTTTAATGGCATGGAGTAAACATGACGATATCTTTCTTTATAATATATTAATTATATTAATATAATTTATTCTTATATCCATCTATTTAATAACTTTTATTTATAACATATTTCTTGCTTATTTTTAGAAGAGTAATTAGCTTATTATATCTTCATTAAAGTAGAAGAACAATGATTTGATATTGTGTTTGACTTGCCTGTTGTTACTAATCTTATAACATAAAGATCACTTATATTTGTTATTATAATATGTAGTTGTGATTAATATAATTCAATAACTAATTTTAAATTATTGTTATTTATGTGCTTGTGTTGTTTTAATTTTAAACTTAACAAATTATATGATTTAAAATTTTAATGAATGTTATTGCCCAAATCTTTTTTTGATATTATTCCATTTATCGGGACGTCCCGATCTTGTCCCGGTCCCGTCCCGACTCTTAACGAGACGGGACGACTTTCGGGACGGGACGGGACACAGGATCAAAATTCAGTCCATTTTTTTTTCGGAACGAGACACGGGATGGGGGTGTCCCAGTCTCATCTCATCCCGTCCCGTAAACACCCCTAATTTTAAAGATAACGCCACAGTGTCATGAAAGTGGAGAGTTGACTCGGCTTCACTAGATGGGCACATCCTCTTATTCCCATTAGGTAGGTTTCCAGGGGGAAGAAGAATAGTCTTGCAAAGAAGTATGGCCATTCAAGTAACTCGGAGCTATTATTATGCACATATCTACAGTATACTAGCTAATTTCTCTCTCTCTCTATATTTATGATCACTACCTCTATTATATTCTACATTATCATATTGTTGTTTAAAATTATATCTATGTACATTAATCAAGAAATATAAAATAAAATTCACAGAAATTGAATATGCTTAGCGAGTATCCTCCTTGTTTGGAATCTCTGTCCGATGCAACATTGAAAAATAAATAAACAAAAACC